GCTGCCTACGGAAATTCTGCTAAAGTTAGTCCGTACACTGTCAGGGGTGGCTAACGGCTCATTGCGGACGACCAAACTGGCTTGTCTTCCCCTCATACAGCTCTGTGTATGGATGGATTTAACGGCAACCTTAGCATCCGAAGGAATAAGACAAAAGGCAATAAACCATCAGGGCTGGGACAGCCGAGAGCAGTCATATAACCCGAAAGAACTTCAAATGCTTACGACTCCGCAAGAAACGGCCAGTGGATGACACCTCAACTGTCAGCACAAGCTATAAGTTTAATCCTACGTCCAATGATTTACTTTTGGTTACTGATAAACTGATCTGCTTGTATACTAAAACACAAGGACTTATTAGTAAGTTGGTAAAACTCCGCCACCGTCAGGCATGCTAGTCTCGAGATACAATAATGGACACCGAATCGTGGCTGAGCTGCGAAGTTCCCGACGCTGGAATCGCTACATTCCGGAACGACTAAATGGGCAGCGAAGAGGGTGACCAATTATTATTAAAAAACCTTCATTGTGAGCTCATAGATGATCCACAAACGGTATCACTGTTCTAGTAGTCTGCAGACTGTGGTTGTATGACCACGCCTAGTGTCCGTAGTTAAACAACCAACTAACCAAATCCACACCGGATATGGATCACAGACCAATATCAGCATTTAGCACTGTAATGAATCAGAAATTTACCTTAATTCTCAGTACAGGTGTAGAAGATTCCCAACTGTCCTATCCTCTGCTGCCTTTCTATCGCTCCCTACCCCAAGATTGTGATTCCCTTGACCGTTTACTCAAACTTTCCCTGTCCCAACCGATCTGCATTATCTGGCTGTCAATGGAGATTGTGTTCCGTGCCAAGTTAATTAAGTTTCTTTACATTTCTAACATATAGATTACTTACATTCAACCGTACATGCATTGACCTACATTCCCAAGGTCGGAACAGAACTAATTGTCGCTTCAGATGGCTTCGCTTCATGTTATCATTTTATGATGTTCCGTTTTAACTCCCTCGCCGTGGCATTCGGATACTGGCGTGCAAGACATTCCTCATGTGACCTGACGATGTTGCGAGCTCATGTGAGTAGAGTTCACATACATAAAACCAGCTCGTCAGTGAGGACAATTGTAAATGTTTCTCCATGTGCGATTGAAACACCTGCAATACCATCACGGTATGTGTGTAAGGCGCCGGCGAAAGCCCACGTTTCATGGCAACCTCCCTTTCCGATTGGCCATATGTAAGCCTGTTAAAGCCACAGTACATTGAGACGAGGTTATACTACGTGAACTTGAAGCTCAGCTTGCTCGCTACCTTGGATTGTTGTATTTGTTTGATACGCCTGTGCCGGAAGCACAGATTGTTGAGGTATTGTACATTGTTGTTTCTAATTAATTTAATAGTACCGTATTCTAGTCCCGGCGTTGTTTTGTGGAAACCGGTGGAAACGCGTTCACTCAAAACTTTCAAGCGTATTGTCGCTTACAACTGGTGAATTCAACCTTCATGATTTGGAAACTCCAGTTAACCAGACAAAACACTTTAAGGCCTATTGACAATATCAACTATATGTCACACCCCCATACAACCACGTCACCGATCCCACTAATTTCGTTACAGCGAATAATCCATCAATGCTAGCTCTAGTACTCACCAACGAGGAGCTCATGGTTGCTGCACTGAATGTATACAATCCTTGGTGTCGAAGCGATCACGTGACTTCACGGATCGATTATATTTACTACGCCGAATACGAAGCTCTGAGAGGTGCGATCTATTACACGCTATGATGTTTTGTCCGCATTCGTCGAAAATGCCAGTTTGACATCCAAGCCTGAGTGCATCCCAGAGATAGCCTAGGGAAAAAGCTTGGAAACCTTCATGTCTTTAATCACCAAAGCAGTGGAGCCGAAATCTCCCCACCGTCCCATTAATCCAACATCGTTTCTGAGAAGCCGATCACGAAAGTTTAGGACCTTAAGTGGTCGCACGTGCCACCTTTACAAAAGCATTCACAACGCAGAAATTGGACAGCGTACGTAGCTGAACGCGACTACTCGGTGAAGTTGCTTCGTGTGGTCAATTCCTCACACCAACAGTAGCTAGGGAAGCAATTCTGTTCGATCTACTAACTTCTTTACATACAAGTGAATGGACTTCGGAAGGTGCAGCACGAAATCCTACCACTCACTACGATTGGTGGGTATACACTCACATCGAAAGTGACGGTCAACGTCTTTAGGGCACACTACTTGCCCACTTTTCAAAGAATACAACCCTCAAACAATATAGTTGCTTCTGTCAACACACCAACAGTGTTATCAGGCGTCAGGTTCACAGTAGAAGTGGGACTGGAAACTCCACTATCCTTGCGTACACACTGCTCGCCTGGAGTGAATAACACTAATTCTAACGCACTGCAGGTAACAGGCATACACCAAGCCAGACCACTTGTAGGATTCTTTCAGCGTTGTATAGACGAAAACATAGTTGCATTAAAGTGGTATTGTAGCCCCATTCACAGGGGAAGAAGTCGGTCTGAGCCTGCTAATAAATGTCCGGTACCCTACTCCCTGTGCTGGCCAAGGTCATGGAAGCGATCATCGCGAACGTACTGATAGGTTACCTGGAAAGCCCGGACACCACAGATGCCGAGAAGTATGAATTTCGGAAACATTTATCATGTAGCACGATTCTGCTGATAGCACGTGACAACTGGACCGAAACAGTCGACGAGCGTACAGGAAACGTCGATATGTACATAGACTTTGCGAAAGTCTTCCATCACTTGGATCATCGAATCCTCCTGCACAAACTGCAGCTCTACGGTGTCGTCGGTCCAGGATTAGGATTGGTTGGTATCTTTCTCCGCGAAAGGCAATTAGAGGTTGGATTCCGGGCTTCTCTGTTCTAGCCACAACGAGTGGAGTGTGGACTACCGCCCTGTTCGGTACATGGACCTCGCTCTTTCTTAGTTTTCATCAACGATCTAGAGAGAGCATTTACGTTAACATTTTTACTTTTTGAGGATAACGTTAAAATTTGGCGGGCGTTCAATGGAATGCACGGTGACGAGCTTTTACAACGCGATCTCGATGAGGCCTGGTAATAATCGGTTGGGTGTTCTCCGAGCTGGGCAACTTGATTGCAAACGTTTCGTCACCATTCGCTGTGGCATCTTTAGTGCGGGATTGGTAGCAGTTAAGTAGCAGTAGCTGGGTTTTCTTTGGGTTTACTTTCTATCAGCTACTACATCGAATGGTGGCGAAACGTTTGCAATCAAGTTGCCCAGGTCGGAGAACTCCACCACCAATGAGCAAGCCTCCCGAGCTGTCAATTTTCCAAATCATTTCAATCAGTTAGGAATGCACTACTATTCAATGCGGACAAATGCCATGTTATCCACACCTGCTATCGAAACACTTATCTCTACAAACTTGGGGCCCATGACCTGCAGACAAGCTCTCAGGAACGTAACCTAGATGTGCTGGTACAGGACGACCTCTGTTGTTCCAGACTACCAGAGTTCGCTTCAGAAAGTGGTAATCAGCATGTTGTTCTCTTGCGAAGAGCATTCGGGAGTTTGAATTTAACTATCTTCTCTCTGATGCTCAGTACCTACGTTCTTTCCGACCTCGAGTACGCAATCCATGCTTGGCGTCATTGGCTAAAGTGTGATTATGCAGCAATGGAAATTCCCTAAGGTCAAGCAACAAAATCTGTCAAAGGATTGTGCAACCTTCCTTACCAGCAACAGCTGAATACACGCAGTGTTCAGTGGACGATACCGGCAGCTGCGTTAAGCCATCAGGTTAGTTTACTAGATACTGAGCGACCCCACGCAGGTATGCAATCACTTACTGAAACTCAGCCCAAAACCAACCTCGGAGGCAATAGACTGAAACTAAGTGAGCGACAGATAGTCGTCTCGATTGTCGAGGAAATTACTACTTCCCGGGTCGGTCAGCCCTGGAACACCCTTCCAAACTCCGTTATATGTGCCCCACATTAGTTGTATCCAAAAAGCGCTTGGATAGCAAAATGAACGCTCTACACTTTGATACTGATATCCTGGTTTTATTCTGGCCAACTAGCCAGTTTGGAATTATGACCCACAGTGACGCACGTAAAATTGTGCAGTGGTGTGAGTAATCACCTCTTACCGGCAGTGAGCATTAAGCATCACAACACTTTAGTTATTTTTTATTGAATATCACACTCACATAACCATCCCTATTAACACAATTGCTCTATCAGTTTGCCCCTGTGTATTTTGTCATGGTCCATTTATACCATATTTATAGCTCAATTGCTACTATCACCGACCTACAACATAGGTTAACCCTGTACTTTTTTACCCTTTATAAACTGTTGTTCCATTTTCACTTTCTTCTTTACTTGCTTATTTTACTAACTGGACTAAAATAACGGACCAAGCAGTCAGAAAAGTAAGTTTAAATTGCATGGTCGATAATTTAACTAGTTGCACGCCAACTCCCATGAGGTTTGCAGCGGAAAAGTTGAAACATGAGAAAGTCTGTTATAAGATTATAGGAGCTATCTGTCAATCATGGTTTGAGAAGACACTAACAATAAATAGGGGAAACTAACAGTCAGTAGCGACACGTTTGGAAAATGGCAAACGTATGTAGGTGCAAAAACTGACAGTTCCTTTAAGCAAATAAACAGCAAATATAGGCTATTTCTGTTTTCCGTGTTGAGAGATAAGACGAATACGACTATGCCAAATTTTAGTAGACAAATAACCGGTTGTCCTTCCTCGCTAGAAGGAATCGGTCTACTCTTTAACAATAAAATTACATGTGCATTTCACATGTACAACGTGACTCTAAAGCACAGAGAAAAACTTTTCTTTATATTTGGAGAGTGTCTCTCGTTATTACGAAGCTCAAATAGAGGCTACTAGGTATAAGCCATCATTTAGTCCGAAATCGTTTTTAAGGTTTAACGAAAAAGCTGCAAGACTCACTTGAGACCCATGTGCAATTGAAATAAAAAAATATAATGCAGCAATGCGTTGACTCCGTTTGTAAGCATATTGAACAGCAGAGGAGCGTATAAATGGTTCTGAAAACACACAACAAACTTCCAGTGAACCTGCTTCCGTTTTGTAGTGATAGAAGCGACTCTGATTTACCGGGTTTGTCTATGCCCCGTACAGCCAACTAACCTGGTTTTGCACATATCTGGTCAGAACTTGTCCCCATGCAGCGAACTGAAGGTAAAAAAGTTTTTACTAAGCACCGAATGCAATTGTCAAACTTACAAAAAGAGCAGGAATAAGCCGAAGAAGGAATCCGGATGTAAGCCTGAAAATAATTAATGGGATTTATAAACTCATCAGACAATGATAAGTGCTCATTATTTCCACAAACAAATCCGGTTATACATTCGAATTAAAAGGATAATACTTTGCAATAAGCTATTACTGTGGTTATACTGTCTACCACATAACCCTAAAACAGGTTACTATTTTTGAGGATATAATAATACTTGCAATGCAGTCATGACGGGCTAAGAAATCAATACAATTAATAGGACGGCTTACATGAAACATAAGTGGGTTATGTAAAGGCTATGGTAAATGATTACAGGTGAAGCGTTTTGTCGACTCGCTTGGCTTGGTGTTTGCTAAACCGAGCTCATCTGGCGTAGGTGGGCCTAAAATGGATTGTGTATGGCATACAAAGTTATCTAAAAACATACAATGTTTGAAATTAAAATGCCTTGCAAGTAACCGGCGTCATCATTGGGTTGACCGTCTAACTGTCTTCAGTTTGTCTGCTGTATAGTTAACTAACACAAACTAGTAATTAAATGTAAGCTGTATAACATTGCTGTCCAGGACTAGTTGATAGGAATCATTGCGTTTCAGACCTTTTGTCTAAGATCCCCGGCCGTCAGCCTTATGACAACTGTTCTTCTAAATAAGCGTAACCTACGCGGTGTAGAGAGATAGAAGGCCAATCAATCGGCGCCTACGCAGAGTAACCGAGGTCGTACAGCTAGCGACACAAAGCATATTGGAAACTCGTAAATTATATCCATGGGAATGCAAGAACACAACGTTGCGAAGAGTACTCTTTTCGATAATTCTCTTCTGGCATTTACGATTATAAAATGGAACAGCACAAAGCAAATGGCTGATGAAGCCAAAGTGATGGGAATAGTGGAATCATGACAAACAGAAACTAAAAAGTCGTGATCAATGAAATCCATTAACAAAACATGTGACAAAGCATGTGTTAGTTGATCGGTGGAATGCCAAGTGCATCATCCGACCACTGTAGGTGTACGGTGTGATAAAACTTGGTGAGCTAACTAGGGCCAGGGTAGAAGAAGCCCTTGCAGTAAGGCCTTCTGTTTACATAATTCCGGTTGAAATATTCTAATCGCAATCGCTTCGGCCGTCCGTAACATTTGCTTTCTACGACCCTTAGTGTACCGTGGTTGTACTACATAAAGTATTGGAAGGTATCAGCGGTCCTAATTCGGTGTCCGCTTTCCACCAGATGTTCCAGGATGTAACTGTTGGGGCTACTGACGATGCCATTCTGCAAAGCCGCTGGGCAGCGCTCCGCAATGCGTTTAGGCAGACGCCTGGTTGTGTGTCCCACGGTTATCCGACACCATTCATCAAAATGTATGCAATGATCCGCCATAGCCGTGAAGTGATTACTTCTGTCCCTAAGAAGAACGTGTTTCTATCAGTTCCCTTTAAAGGCTATGTTGCCTTTGATCTGTTGACCGGAAGAATTTCCACTGCAGTGACTAGAACCTTCACGGCCGCATGCCCACACGTCCTTGTGGAAACAGCTCCATTTATAGGCCAACGCATTAAGGACAGACTTCTAGTTCAGTCCCAATTCCACATCTTATATCAGTTTGCCTGCGCCTGTGGTGCGAGGTACGTGGGACACACAACCAGGCGTCTGCCTAAACGCATTGCGGAGCGCTGCCCAGCGGCTTTGCAGAATGGCATCGTCAGTAGCCCCAACAGTTACATCCTGGAACATCTGGTGGAAAGCGGACACCGAATTAGGACCGCTGATACCTTCCAATACTTTATGTAGTACAACCACGGTACACTAAGGGTCGTAGAAAGCAAATGTTACGGACGGCCGAAGCGATTGCGATTAGAATATTTCAACCGGAATTATGTAAACAGAAGGCCTTACTGCAAGGGCTTCTTCTACCCTGGCCCTAGTTAGCTCACCAAGTTTTATCACACCGTACACCTACAGTGGTCGGATGATGCACTTGGCATTCCACCGATCAACTAACACATGCTTTGTCACATGTTTTGTTAATGGATTTCATTGATCACGACTTTTTAGTTTCTGTTTGTCATGATTCCACTATTCCCATCACTTTGGCTTCATCAGCCATTTGCTTTGTGCTGTTCCATTTTATAACTGTAAATACCTGAGGAGATTTATCGAAAAGAGTACTCTTCGCAGCATTGTGTTCTTTCATATTGGAAGCCACGACGGCAAACGCGGTCGCTCAGATACTGCGCAGTTGCGTTTTTAGGACCATTTATCAACAATTTGCGGCGAAGCATTGAGCTAACAATTATTCGACTCAAATTTATTAGCTCCACAACATGCATGCTTAATTTATGAATCATTCTTATCTTTTTAATGTCTTATTCACGTCTGCGTTTGTGACCGCTTTTGTTGCAGGAACTCAAGCGTGCAAATCCCAGTATTTATGCACGTCATGGAATGTTTGCGTTTGTTCTAAGATCTTTCTTGCGATGAACTAGACATCTGAAATTCTTTCTCCAATGCCAGTTGCAGTAGCTGCCTCGCATTTTCTTCTACCTTGCTGCTAGCTTTGCAGTTAATTGAAATTGATCCATAACCCAAAGCCATTAGCCACGCGGTGATGTTATCGGTCAGTGCGCTGATGTGGCATCAAACTGACGAACGCAGCCACATCACCCGTTAGTCCGCCCTCAATTGACGTTTTTAACGGCCGCTCGTATGAATGAGGTGCGTAACCAATAAAAGTCGCTCAAGTGCACAATATCAACCATCACACTGGGTCAGTTGAGGAAACGATCTGCGTGTCAGAAAGCAAATAGATAGGAATACAAATGGTTGCTTTCCTAGGTCGTGGTGACTCGGGAGATTGTAATCTATTAGCCAAATTGGGGGTTATCCTTAAAATGTTGCAATCAGTATCATCCAAAACGTGCAAGGCGCTTCCAAGAGAGATGACATACCGAAACAGTTCCAAGATGTCCTCCGCTTTTGTACTGTTTTGTCAAGTATACGCCCATCCTAATCCAAAAGTGCGCCCAGTTAGTAACAGAATTTGTGCGGCTAATAATCGCTATGATTACTTTATTTAAAACAGGTAAGCACCAGGACAGTGCATTGCTTCGAAGCGAAGCAAAGATCACAAGTTGCTTCATCCGAACCATGCTCGGTAAAGTTCTCATCGCCGTTATCTCCTCCGACTATGACAAAAGGTCAAGCGAAATTAGACCGGGGCTCTGAAACGCAAGCGATACCCATGACAACGAAGAGCAGACACTAACCGGACCGCGTCATCAATCAATTAACGATGGTCTTCTGCATCCGCAATTCAAAGGACTCTGTTCAAGTTCAAGTCCCTCAGGAGTTCAGGCACATATGTAGAGATCGCTGGAAAGTCACCCGGAATGTCTCACTTAGGTTTTTCTTCTGTTAAGTACACCGCTAACGCGATTAAAGAGACAAAGAGTAGACCATCATCACTTTGCAGAAAGCCAAGAATAACGATTGCCCGACACTGCAGCTCAACAAATATGCAATCCGACATTAGCGCCCTGACTGTTGTGGATGCAAGTGTACCCGAATCTGTAACTCGCACATTGGTGGGTAGGTTGTTTGACTACCAGTACCAGTGGAACTCAATGTGCATTGTGAGCGACATCAAGGCCAAAGACACAAACCTCATAAGGGATAAGAGGCACAGGAACTCTTAACACTGTTACAAACGCAGACTTATTAAAGTGACATAAAAATCCGCCACTGAAGCAGGAAAGCATTTACTTGTTTCAACTGCTCTACACCACGGGTTCTGTGTGATACGTATCTATCCTGATGTCCCTTGGAGCAAGCGAAAATCGAGAAAGAACCTTGCGGAAGGACAGCATAAGTAGGATCGCCTAGACACAATCTTCATCCGTTACGTGCCAGAGCTTCCTTCTCACAATGGTCGGGAGATCGGAAATCAAGCTTTAGAACTGTTATAGCGGAGGCAAGAGTACTCCACCACTCTCCGTGGTTTTGTGAGTTTTATTCCACTCATCCCTATTCACCCCGTCCTCTTTTACGGTTCCCCACATACGTTTCTATTACTTCACCTTTGTGACTAGCTTGGGTTGACACTGAATCTTATGCTTAATGGGTTTTCCTTACTCTGTACATTTCGCTCGTTCGTGAGACATCGTATCGATCCTTCGCCCCGGGAATGACTAGCTCTGATTGATCGAGTGTCAGCCTTTCTGCATAGCCTGTGTATATGCCCTAAGTTGAATCATGTTATTGAGTTGCACACACACACAGACGTTTGGTGGCCGGTTTGGCGTGCGGCGTGAACATTATTTTCTACCCGGTCGTTGGTGTTCTCACTACGGTTAGTGGGTGGAAGCAGTCGTGGGGTTCCGACACAACAAGAACAGTGACGGTTCATTCGAAAAACACTTTCATAACATAATTGCTCGCTGCCACAAAAGGCTAACTCCCACCAAATTATGTAGGGTGCCGTCCAAGACTTAAAACTTGTGCTTCAGTCACAGCAAAGAGCGACAGAAGTGATAAAATGTTGGCGGAGAAACTGGAAGTCTTCCACCTGAAATTCGATTAAAGGCTGCAGAGGTCATGCAATGATCGAACTTGAGCTTGTCTGAAAAGCAAATCTGCGGGCTATTAAACAGGTGGTTCATATGACCACACATTTCCACGACTTTGCGGGAGGTCCGGACGAAGAATTAAGCGTGTATTGGCCAAATCTAGGCAAAAACCAAGTGACAGTAAACAAGCAAACTAAACGAAAAACGGCCGACCTCAAATCGGTCGGTATTCTTCCACAACTAAGTCGTTTAGCAACCCGTGGGCTACTAGATACTGAGAAACTATCCTGCCTTTATACCAATGCACAAGGCCTTTCCAATAAGTTGGCTGAACTGAAAGATCACCAAGTGCGTAATCCGTGTGATATCATCGGTATTTGAGTCGACGCTAGCCACATGCAGCATTATGGTGGAAGCCAAACATGTACTTAGACACAGTATCATCCCTGCTCTTAGTCACAAAGTGGAAAGCAAACTATTCAACGTAGGCGAACAAAAGGCAGTGACAAGCCTCTGAAGAGACAAAACTAGTGTTATATTGCCAGCCGACAAAGGGTGTCTTCCTGTGATAATGCACAAAACTGACAACATGAAGAAGGCACCAGAACTGATCGCAGATGTTAACACATACCGAACGATAAGTGCAGACCATACAAAACATCTGGAAAGTCAGATCAAACGAGCTCTTTATAGACTGGAGCGAATAGGACAGCTCACGATGTTAGAACACATCATGATGAAACCCGGAGATTCAGTGATACCACGGTTCTACAGTCTATCCAAAGTATGCAATGATGGGTACCGCTTCGACCTATCGTGTCATTACCAGGGGCACCGAATTACAAACTATCTAAGCAACTCTGGAAATGACTGAAATACCTAATCGCAAACGCAGAGCATTCAATCAAATCGGCAGAGCAATTTCATGACAAACTCAAGGGAATAACAATAAAAAAAGACGAGATGATGGTATCACTTGATGTTACAGCTTTGTTCACATCGATCGACAAGAAGCTGGCACGGCAAACAATGATGACCCTACTTGAACAACACAGGGCGGCAAATTCAAACAACAGAATTGGAATCACCCAAATGGTGATGTGGCTTGATTTCTGTCTCACCACACATTTCACTTTCAATGGTCAAACGTACAAACAGATAATGGGCACACCAATGGGTTCACCATTGTCTGGACTGGTGGCCGAGACAGTGATGCAAACATTGGAACAAAATGCACTGCCGATGGTGGAGCCCAAACTGTGGATACGTTACATGGACGATACTTATGTCATCCTCAAGCGTTCCAGACTACAAGAAACACGCCACCCGATCAATAATATTTTCCAGGTATCCATTTTACCAAAGAGGAAGAGAACAAAGACAAGCTGGCTTGCCGTACAACCTCCTCGTGGTGTTAACTGAGTGATTTGGGATTTTCCCGTTCTAGCGTATGGTTCCTTGGCAGTGTTCCAGGACGTGTAGTATTCTCGCCTAACAAGCCTTCTCCCTATAAAAAGCCACATATATCTGTTTAACAACACTGTGACGTGGTGGACGTGAAACGCCGCTAACTAAAGTCACTGCCCCTTACTTCATCCTGGCGAAGTATTGTATTCCAGCAACTTAATGCTCTAATTCTGGGGAGAATTGGGCCCCTGTTTGAGAAAGGAACAAACGAAAAGCGTAAGAACTGAGCAACCAGTCACCGCCTCCTAATGTGTGCGACTCCATGAAATCGATCCGCTGCCTTGCGGGCAGTCTATTTATCCGAAGGCTCGGGGTGGTGTCACGTAAGTCCACACCCTACTTCGGCTTGGGCAACCGGGTAGTATCTCGCTGTCTGACGAAACCATGAACTTTGATGTGTGGTGTTGTGTGTTTTCGCTTACTATTTCTGCATCTTCTTTGGAGTCTCATATTTTCTGATGGCTCTATGTCTATTGGTAGACGGTTGCAAACTTATAAATATATATTCTTAGACCTATTCGTGAAAAGACATGCTTCCGGCCCCTTGGAAACAACAGTCTGTTGAAAAGCGACGCACATTAATCAGATCGTAAACTATCGCAGTATCCACCCAGATAATTAAAAGCGCAGTTGCGTTAGGAGACTTTTCAAACAGGCTCAAACACACTGTAGCACGCCGCAGCCGAGAAAGATGGAGTAAGACCAACTATGTAACATGTTCCAGCGGAATTAGTACCCTGAAATTTTATTCTACGCCGCCTGAAGTTGAAAAGTCAACCACAATACGCTTCCGTAAGCGCAATGGAAAGAAAAACAATGGTCCTTCCTTACATCCATGGGTTTTCTGAGATGGCAACGAGACTTTCAATGGCTCACGGGGTCAACGTTGCGTATGAAGCAACGGAAACTAGTCGGAATAAACTTTTTAGGGCAAAAGGCCAACTGAGTAGCAAAGAAACATCAGGTGTGGTTTACAAAATTTGCTGCAAAAATGGTGACAGTTACTAAGTGGGACAATACTTGGCACAAGACTGCATGAACACAGTCTGGCCATCCGTCGACATGATGAAAGATCACTAATGTCAGTACATATGGATGCCGAAGGCCATCAGTTCGATCTGGGAAACGCCAAGATAGTTGGAAGAGCAAAAGTCCGCAGAGCGCGTGAGTTCATCTTGACTTGGCATTCGGGCCAGAACTCAATCAACCAGCATCTAGAACTCGAAGGGGTCTACGAAGCTTTGCAGGTGAGGTCAAATATGAGTACCAGATTGACATGGCGAAGATGTGACCACTTGGCTGACCCACGTGAGCCAATGGAATACACATTCAAAGCAGGAGACGATCAATGGTCACTTGGGTCTGACAGTGGCTTGCGAGACTTTGCAAATCAGACCTCTATAACCGCACTGAGGATGTTGCTTTGTTTATCAACGAAAACTCTGCAACAAAGTTATCTAGCTGGTAGAACACAACAGTCCTCTCACCCATCATCTCTACTTTCTACTCTATCTAAAAATCTTATTTTTATCTTTAGTTGGCTTTTGTGGCTATTAAGCTATTTGGGTTGCCTGACTGCTGCATTAAAAATCATAGGCGTATTACTTGTACTGTATAATCCTAATTGCTTTTGGTTAGTTAACCTTTTTCGATGGTCTACCAGACCAGCCACTTCTACTAAAGCAGTGTCTGTCTGTTGTAAACAAAGTGAAGCTTTTTCACGCAGACTGAGTATATTGGACATATGCACCCTGTGCTTGTAACAACCGTAATCGACGGTTAACCAATGGACTGATTGCGAATCAAATGCTGTCTATGCCTGCTGTTTCTAATCGCGCAGGCCAGTCGGGCAGCGGAGAGTTGTTGTGGCAAACCCGGGCCAAGTACAGCGTGACCTGAGATACAATATTTTCGGAGCACAGTGGAGCAACAGTGCACGCAGACCAAGGAACAGAGACAGAAGTTTTAGGAAGCAATAGTAAAATTAGAGCAATGCGCTGTGTTCCTTTTGAACATCTTAACTTCTTGTACAGCCTGCAACACCATAATTTCTGCAAGCAAGAGTTTTTAATCTATGCCATGACACTTTCTGACTTTTGGTGGGTCAGTTCACAGAAGGTGTTGCGAGTGAGTCTCTGCTGCTCCATTACTTCTTATTTTAAATACGCTAAAATTCCGGGTGTAGATTTCGTACGAACACGGCGCAATGTACTCGTACGATGGATCCATTGGTTCTGCTACGTTAGAGTAATTTGTTTATGCGTTTAATTGCTCAGTAAAATGAAGCTAGTCTTGATCTAATACAACTGCCATTCTGCACCTGATAGTTCACCTAAGCTCAATCGACGGGAGCATATGCCGTTCTTATTTCCCGGAATCCTGACTAAAAAATTTGTCTCTCAAGTCAATCTTGTGGATAATAATTTGGGCGCGATTCAAACATACATTATGTATTTCAACGTCACCAAGTGCAAAGTTCCCAGCATACGGCACAAGAGTGTGCACAAGTACCGCCTAGGACCACAAATTCAACAGCGGGCTACTCACGATTGCGACCTCGGCGTGCTAGTTCAAGATGACCTTGGTTGTTCGAGGCAGACTGAAAAGGCAGCTAAGAAAGCAAACCAGTACCTCGGCCTTATTCGCAGAGCTTTCGGGAAGTTTGACCCTTCGATCTTTCCAAAAATGTTTAGTGCGTACGTGAGGCCGCACGCGGAATACGCTATCCAAGCGTGGCAACCCTGGCTCAAGCACCATCTCGCCGCGCTCGATACTGCACAACGTAGGGCAACGAAGAGCGTCAGAGGTTTGACCAGCCTCCCCTACCCACTCAGGCTGAAGACTCTCAAAATATACAGTGGACGTTAGCGGCGTCTAAGGGGGGATCTCATAATGGTGTACCAGATCCTGAGAAACCCAAACGCCCATGCCATTCCCTTCTGATACTCAGTCAGAACATCCTGCTAAGAGGTCATCAGTTTAAGCATGTCACGCAGTACAACCAACTGGAATGTAGGTAAAACTTTTTCTCACTTCCAGTGTCAGTCCTGGAACGACCTCCCGGAACATGTAATTAATGGTCCCACCCTATCCCTTTTCAAAAAACGCCTTCACGATACTCTGTCACATTTACACTACGTGCTATAGCTCATGACTGCTAGATGCTGGCACTAATGCACAACTGGCAGTGGACAGCGCCATAGCCCTACTCGAGAATCAGTCACTCCAAACCTCTTACACACAAATTGATAAACGCTACTACTATAGAAACTGGATTTCTGTATTCCGTCGACCCGAGATAGCCGCACACGAGCAAGCGCTGTCCTTGCTATGTTTTTATTTTTTATCGCTTATTACGTGATCAGTAACCGCTCCCCTTATTGCTTTGTGTGCGTACATTCTAATTTCAAACTCCCTTTATACAGCAGCGCAATTAAATCTGTTACCACCCGAACCGACGATCCCATTATCTATTGATTAATCTATTCTCATTCTAACCACCCCACGGGACTTGTCAAACACCTGATTTTTACGCGTTATAAATCATTGTTCATTGTTCATAGTGACGTAAGGGATAGTTATGTGAATCGCACCATTTTTTAATGTGTAGTATACAAAAACGAACATTGGAACAAGATCCCACAGTTCCATGATAACACAGATGCATTAAACTTTTTGGTAACGGAACTTACTGTGAAATTTGAGGATTTTGTCCCAAAATGAGCAACACGGGCTCTATACACATATACAGAGCACAGCACGGGATACAGCAGATTGTGATAACGGCTAAGGCTACAATGGATACAACAGGGTGGATTGCATCTTTTACGGTTCAGTTAGGTTACCTGATCAACATTGTTCATTGAAGAACTAGTTGTGCATGGTTGTATTTTTTGATTAAGTAGTGATTTAGTTAAGGGAAATCTTGACACTTTAAGTGTACGTAAATTTAACGCGTAACTGGACGCACCTATGTCTTGCCTGCAAGAAGATTGCAGGATTCCTCAAGTTTGTACATACGGCATGAATGGATCACAGATTTAACAAAACGATCAACCCAAATCTGCACACAAACGTTGCCTTCATTGGCAAAGTAGATGTATTTTGCTTGGCTGTTGGTGGGTTGCCATTGTAACATACAGCTTCACAATGGATCAGTCAAAGAACCGCAATTCAAATGACCCTAATTTAATTACACGTGCAAGTAACGCAAGTCTACCTGAAATACTATGTGGCGACGAACGAACAGAATGAAATAGAATACTACTGGTGGATATTATGAGCAGTCATCAAAACCGCTATCAAACAGGCAAATGTTCCGCATCAAAAGGAACTGTAGCTCTGAGCAGTTGGATGAGATTTATTTGTCCCTGCACTTAAGTACTGCTGGGATGTTGTCTATTTGGAGGGCTTTAAGTTGTGCTCAGAAGTAATGCAAGCATAGTTAGTGCCCTTAGTTTACGAACGTTTTGCGTTATAACGGTAGTCCGTTCCATAACAATTCTTACCTTGTATCGAAAGTAAATAAGTCACAGATGTTGACATCATTCTTAGCAAAACATAACGTCTAAAATACATAGTACACAAATGTAAACGTATCATTATCTTGACCATTTACTCTGGCACAAGACCAAAAATTACGGTAGGTAATGAAAATAAGTTAATAAGGTTTTTATCCAAAACACTTTGATCCGTATTTGGATAGGTTTCTATAATGATGCATCTGAAGGGAAAGAAAAGTTTATATTATTTTCTTCACTGGGTCTGCTCATCCGACAAGATTATGGTTTGTATCGTCTGAACACTCAGTTTAAATTCATTCTCAAATGCGTATGCTGGACACAAGAGAAAGGCATCAATGGCAACAAAATTTACTCAGAGTGATACTTTCAAGCCCTTTAATCGGATTCCGAAATCTTATCTTCTTGCAAGTGTAAAATCATTGGTACTTAATGCTTCCTCTTGGTTATTGTAGACGGATAATTTGTGTACCCGCATTTGCAGATGCAACCGTCCATTTGGTAAAGCGGATTCGCTGTCTCTATTCCCATTTGTAGCCGTAGTTTCCATCTTCGGAAACTCTACCGGATCTTTAGTTTTGCTAGGAAGCTTCTTTATGTTGACCAGAAAATGTTAGACATGATACTGGCCGCTATTTCTCTTAATAGCTTTCTGATGAAGAGAAGTGCCACTAATACAACTTGAAGTGGCTTAACTCCTTGTACTAAACCTGACGGGACTCACTATTAAGCTCATAATATTGCCTCAGTTACTGTAGCCAATTTCCAAATGTTAAACATATTCCATTGAGTTTTTGAGATCCCGGGCTAAAGGTCTATGTAGGATTATTCAGCAGAATTATCCTGGATAGTTAAGACAGATAGGTTGCCATCAGGAGAAGTTGGTGACAACTGTTATTTGTGACGGATAGTCCCCTTTTTGTTTCCGGTTTTCCAATGAATACTCGGTGCATACCTTAAGCAGCATTTGGTGTGCGCTATCCCGGCCCGTCGTGGGGACGTCAACTCGTTGTACTTGCGACTCCATGGTGGACGGAGGTTAAGAATGTTGAGGGTCTGTTCTATGTGTCCTACTGGTTTAGTGTAAGCCACTGGACAGTTCGAAGCACACTACAAGCTTCTGTGATCTTTGCTATAAGACTAACTAAGCTGGAAGTGCTCGAAATGTTTGATAGCAACCGTTACCACTTTTTGAGGATAAGTAGCAGATTTAATCCGACAAGTACCGCTACTCACTTGGCACGGATGGCGTGAGGACAGCACGAGAACGTACTTTAGCCGTTCAGTTGCACTGTCCATTCACTCGTGGGCGCTTTAGGATACATCTAACCGATTCCCCTTTATGCTGCCTTCCATTAACAAAATGAAAATTATCTTTATTTAAACGTAGGAAATATAAAGCTGTTCCATAAGTTTAAAACAGCTTATTCATTCATTTCCCTGGCCATGAATCTTCCACCTGCTGTTAACCGCATGACCGGATACCTAACATCGAATAATTCCACTAGTAGATATTAGTCGATAAACTGCACATTACAGCATATTGTGTGACGGTTACTGATTATGATCAATCCCTAAACCAAAAGCATTATGAAAGTTTGAACATGAAAATAAGAGCTAAGCAATTTTAAAAGACGTTTATTCAGACCTTTGTTACAATGTTTGTGACAGTGTCGTCACCTAACAAAAAGGAACGGAATAACTTGGCGCTTCGAAATGTATCTCAGTAGTTTTGAAAAAGTGTATGTACTAGTTACCTAAATTAAGAAGAAAAGCGTTTCCATCACTATCAGACCAGTAGCAAGAGACAGAAACAAATTCCAGCTCAGGTTGTCCTGTGTTTCATTACGAAGGAACAGTTAATCAATACGGTTGCTGACAAGCAGGTTAACACTAGGATAAACTGCCTGGAGATGTCGCCTTTTGTGTGTATCAAATTACTTGTTCCTGTGGTACAGGGCCGCACAATAAGACGTTTAGCCGAACCTGTACGAGAGCATCACCCAGCGTGGTTGGATAGGGGAGTGGACAAAACTGGTACCACCACGATTTTCGTAAATCTGGCCAATACGAATAACTCGGTGGTTATCACAGACGTCTTCCGCCTGATCAATCGCGTGAGGGGAGTAACCATAAAACGTGATCAACTGCTGCATAGTTACAATGGCAGATTCGATCGCCTTTCGTCTTCACCACCCTCCTCTATATGTGCACAAACAATTTGTGAGAACCCTGGCACTTCCCTGGCTAGCAGCTGCACAAACAATCGTGTGAACCAGTCGACACACGGCTGTCGCGTCCACCTCCTACTCCAATCCTAATACGTGCTTTAATCTGTTCTGTAGAACAGATTAAAGCACATAGTAGGATTGGTTAGCTATTTAAATGTGTTATCCTGATGATGAATCAACGAACACGAGGTTGTTTCTTTTACTGACTTTTCATGAATAACACCAGTCACGGTTTATTGCGACAATGTCATAATGTGACTTTTAATAACACGACTGTGTTTGGTTTGGCATTGCACGACTGAGTGCCTTTGCGTTGAACTTGATTATTCCGTGGCCACTGCTTCGGCGAAGAGGTTTCGACGTTAATGATAAAACTAATAGTCACTAAATAGAAAAACTTTCGTACACACACTGAAGATAAAATAAATTGTTTCCCTTTACACAGTAGTCTCTTGCTACAATAGTATATTACGGTTAAGAGGGAACATCAAACGGTATAAACTTTTACAGCTTTCTCCATGTGCAACATCAAAACTAAACACCTTAATAATCCTGGCAAAAGTTACATTTCCTTAATGTTTTCATAAATTTGTGCTAATGTTTTGATTAAAGGAAAAACTGTCACACTTACATCGCTTCAATTGTATGCTTATCTTGTGCCGCATCTTGCTTCCGTAGGTCTGATTAAAAAAATAAAAAATAGCTGAAAGAATATGTAGAATGTATGTAAATGCAACCGGTAGCGACAGTTATGTGTGGATGAGTAAGGCAGTTTCACAGTGTTGTTAGGCGATGTAAAATATGTCTGAAGCGCAAATAACTGTCTATCTTCCGCTATTCGTTTACTAACTAATCTGCATAGCGGAGTGGGCTCCTTTGAGAGGTATCCGTTCCGTTCTACGCTGGCCTTACAAATAGGGTGCACTTGGAGCCATGCTGAAGTAGTATGATTCCAGTAATTCTAGGCGGTGTATACATATATATATACCATTTTCACTTTAAACTGGACATTTTTCAAACCAAAGTGGACATTTTGCAAACCAAAGTGGACATTTTGCAAACCACATTGGACATTTTGCAAACCACACTGGACATTTTGCAAACCAAACTGGACATTTTGCAAACCAAAGTGGACATTTTGCAAAACAAATTGGACACGTTGCAATCTAAGTAGCAACTCGCCAATTTGTTGGTAAGAAACGAGCAGTAAGACTGCTGAATGATGTTCAGCATATACATTGTGATGACGCTAATACACCGGCATTGTGTAAGCAGCGGGCTACACTGTAAAACATTTGCTTGATCGTGAGCAGCGACCGAAGTTCTGAACTACGCTCCCCTCTCCCCATTGACATTCGCCTAGTTGGTGTGCAGTGCCCATACGCATCAACCTGTGTTGGTGTGTGACAATTGGAAAATCGGACTTCCGAATCGTAATTGTGTATCAATCATTTTGTGAGTGGATTGCGATGCGCAATCTCAATGTGCACCGTTATTCTCATTAGAGAGAACCTTGTCCGATTCGGTCAATGGGACCATGTCGGATGAAGCAGGTAGGCGGTGTCCCAGCTTCGCCCGTCTCTCTATTAGCTTTCGCAACTGCCACGTTATTGTATCAGCGTAGGCTGTAATGACCCCCAGCAAAACCAGTCTATACCATTTCTCACTTGCTAACGTCCTTAACGCAATCGCTTACATCCTTAACGCAAACACTAACATCCTTAGTTCAGGAGCTATCATTCTTAGTTCAGAAGCTATCATTCTTAACGCAAAGGCTATCATCCTTTAATCATCCACGTAGCATCCACGTACCACTGCGTGGGCAGAGGCTACCAGCCAATAGAATTCGGTATAGCGTAGCGACTGAAAACAGTCACACGCAAAATACTCACGCTTTCGGAGCTGGGTAGGAAAACAGTGAGACTTGCGTGAGACTAGCATGGTCCAACTCAAATGGACGACAATTGAGACTACTAAACGGAGCTCAGCCTGTGCACAATGCGCCGCGCGCCCTCACTGGACAATGGTGGTGCCTGAGACA